GAGGAAGGAGGAAGGAGGAGGGAGGAGAGAGGAGAGAGGAGGGAAGAGGGAGGATGCAGGAGCGAGGAAGGAGGAGGGCGGAGGGCGGAGGGAGGAGGGAGGAGGGAGGAGGGCGGAGGGAGGAGGGAGGAGGGCGGAGGGAGGAGGGAGGGCGGAGGAGGGAGGGCGGAGGACGGATGGATAAGATAAGATAAGATAAGATAAGATAAGATATGATAATGTAAGATAAGAAACGACCGATCGCGAAGCGAGTTCAATACATTATGAGGATCTGGCCGCCTTCTCAGCTCTGCTGAGAACTTTGGGCATGAGACCTCTTGAAAGACGGTCGAGATATTCTCGCCGTGCTTTGGTAAGTGGGGCTCTTGGGGGGGCCATACACTCATCAGCCAAACCTCGGAGCTGCTGCTGATGGTAGCACCCACAGGCCGCACAATACCATACGGACAGGGATTCATGATAAAGCATTTGGTGAGAGCTGTGGACCCACCCCCCAGCGAGATGCAGACGCTGCCCTCGAGGAACCCTCAGAATTCCCGTTGACTGAAGCTCAGGCTGGAAACAGGCTGACTCAAGAAACTCCTTCTTCCCAGCCACAGTCGTGGATCCCCTACAGACAAGACGCCTTTTTCCACACTCCGAGATCCTATGTGCCGTGCAAAAAAGGGCCACCGTGGCTGGGGCAGGAGGTGAAACCCTGGGGGGCTTACGGGGCCTTCGGGGAGCCTTCTTTTCCTTCTCAAGGGCGATGGATTCGAGCGAAGCTCTGAGCAAACGCTGACGAATGAGGGCAACTTCATGCTCAGTCTGCAACACTCGAGCACGCTGATCCTGCGGGACCCTCGCACGCAGTGCCGCCTCTCCAGCCAGGTGGTCAACGAAGACATTTCCAGCGATGAGAGGCGCCGCCAACTGCCGAGAAATGACCTCCTCACCTGAAACATGAGACGGGACTTTGATGACAGCGATGTGATACGGCTCCCGTCTTTGCTGTTTGAGGGTCTGCCCAACTTCACGCCACAGATCTGAGTTCGCGCCTTGTGGGGCGATGTACAGTCGCTCCCACCATCCTCGGCACACTTCTTCGTTGTCCGTGACGAATGTCATGAATCCTGCCGACCACCGAACGCCCAGGAGGAATGCCAGCAGTTCGCCCCGAGGGACGGTTTGCCTCACTCCTGACAGTGGTCCAAAAACGAAACGAGAATCTGGTCCAGGGAGCTCGCCGACTGCTGATACTGCTAACCCTACCCGACGAAGTCGAGGATCATGTGTATCGCTGCCGCCTGAAGCGTCACCGTGGATCACAATGGGTGTGGACTCGTCGCCCTCGCCGAAAAAGCTCTGATCCAAATCGTCGTTGTGACTGACTGTCCAGATCTCCTCTTGCGTGGGCGGGTCCACAGCCGTGAGGTGAGAGGGTATGAGCCCTGGATACCAATAACATTCCATACTGTCACCTTGGGTCAGCGCTTTGTGGCATAACTCCTGGGACAGGTCAAAGGCTGCCGGCCCTTGGTTACATCGGCAAGTCCAGAAACGATGCTTGGGTGTCTCTGGACCCTCCTCGCAGCGTGCACACTGCGACGGAATATCATATCCTGCATCGGCCTTGCGAGACGCCGTCCATGCCCCGCCGACCGTGATCGTAAGTAGAAGATGTGCCAACCTGCGCCCGATCTTGGGGATCTGCTCAAGCTGGAACAACTGCTTCCTGAGGCTGAAGTTGTCGACTCCTGCCTCCATGCCGCCTCCACATAATGTTGATACTGCTGCCTGTTGCCACTGCTTCCGTTGAATTGACCTGGTGAATGCATCGAGGAGTTCGACGGCCTGATCATGAGCTTGGAAGTCGGAGCCTGCGAAGTTCCACCCGTCCTGGTGGCCCTCTGCATCAGCGGCCTGGTACCACAGCGACGGCTCTGGGATGTCCCAGCCTGCGTCGAGGAGGTAGTGAATCACCGCCGTGAGCGGGCCACGAATATGCCTCGCACGATGGCGAGGTTCACACTGCTGGAAGAAAGAGACGGATGGACGGATGGACGGATGGAGGGAGGAGGGAGGAGGGAGGAGGGAGGAGGGAGGAGGGAGGAGGGAGCAGAGAGCTGGGAGCAGGGAGGAGGGAGGAGGGAGGAGGGAGGAGGGAGGAGGGAGGAGGGAGGAGGAGGACGAGGACGAGGACGAGGACGAGGAGGACGAGGAGGACGAGGAGGACGAGACGAGGACGAGGACGAGGAGGATGCGGAAGATGACGAGGAGGAGGAGGAGGAGGAGGAAGAAGAGGAGGAATAGGATGAGGAGGAGGAGGGGGAGATTGATAAGGAAATGGACGAGGGAAGGAGGGGGAGCAGTAGAAATAGGAGTAGGAGTAGGAGCAGGAGTAGGAGTCAAGCTAGCCAGCTCGAGCGAGTCAGCCATGGCATGCCCATTCCCACCCGCCCTTCCACAACATAAGAAACAGTGCTGGCGCAACTGGAGACCGAAATCAGATCTGCAAGGTGGTTTGGCACAGCTGATGCAGCCGCGATGGCGGCTACCGATCAGAAACTCTTGGCGCGTCTCAAAGACTGCGCTGGCATTTCAGCACGAGCCGAGGAGGCCTCAGGAAGCCGGAGGCCTCAGGAGGCCCCAGGAGGTTGCACGAAGCCCCAGCGAACCCCGGGAAGCTTCAGGAGGCCCCAGGAGGTCGCAGGAAACCCCAGCGAACCCCAGAAACCCCAGGAGGCTTCAGGAGGGCCCAGGAAGCCCCAGGAGGTTTCAAGAGGCTGCAGGAAGCCCTGGGAGGTGTCAGGACACCCCGGGGAATCCCAGGAATCCCCAGGATGCCTCAGGAGGCCCCAGGAGGATCCACGAGGCCCTGGGGAAGCCCCGGGAAGCCCCAGGATGTTCCAGGAGACCCTGGGAGGCCCCAGGTGGCCCTACGCGCTCGACGAACTGGCGAGCGAAAAATGCGCGCCGCGCCTTAGCGGGAGCGCAACTTTCAGAAAACATGCGCGCGGCGCCGAAGCGGGAGCGACAGTTCACCTTGTCGCGCGCGATGTGCACCGCCCCCCATTCCTGCCGCGAGTTTCGCAAAGCCGACGACAAGAAAGCCCTTGCTGAGAACACACGTGTCGACTTTGCTTGTGCTTTTGAAAGGTCGGATAGCCCCTCCCGCATGGGGTTGCCCCATACGTCCGCGCGCGATGTGCGCCGCGTCGCGTTCCTGCTACGCATTTCGCATCGTCAACGACGACTTGGCATTGATTTTTTACAGCCAGGATGGGAGGGCCCGGATTGACGGCCGCGCGCGATGTGCGCAGCGTCCTATTCC